GTCTGCATGCGCTCTTACTGCGCAGCTGGCAAGTTCTCTTGAGGTGACAAGCGAAAATCCAGCGCCCTCGACGCGTTTCGAACCAGCACTAGGAAGGGTTACAAAGCCTGCCAAGTGCTCACTTCCAGGAAAAGCCGCTTACTTCCGGTGGCTTGATACCTGTTTGCTGAATGCGCCATCCAGACCCCTATAAAAGGGATGAGTGAAGCGAACAGATCGTGTTCGGAGCTAGCCTCGAACCAGGAGTAGTTAGTTTCACTTCGCCGCGGAGGGCGCTGACGTATGGGGCCCCTCCTCGGCGGCCACGGTGTCGGTGGCGTAGCGTGCTCGCCGCTTCGTGTTTTGCTTTTGTGCTGTGTCGATCACAGGAGCCACCATCGTACACGAGGGTGAGCCTTAAGCTGAAGAAGAAGAAATTATGCTATAAGGATGGGAAAGAAGAGTTTCAAACCCACGTGCGGTTCAGGGTACCTTAAAGGCCCGTTCACACATGCTGCGGAGCGCTACAAGCATAGCGCTAACCTCGCGCTAAGCGCGTGCTGACGGCAGCGTTCACCAGCTTTGTATCGCACCGTCAAAACTGTTGCTCATGGCATACGATAAGTAGCTGATGGCACGTGAGGAGCGCTACATCAGCGCTTCGCTGCATGTGAGAACCGGCCTTAACTGTGCAGAGCGAGTGCCCTTGTTTAAAGCTCCATCGAATGACGCTTGCCTGGAGCAGTGGTGGAAGAAACACGGTTTGGGAGGGACCCATACTTGGGCGCCATCTATACCCGTGCGAGGGAAGCCTACAGCACGGTGGAAGAAACACGGTTTGGGAGGGACCCCTTACTTGGGCGCCATCTATGCCCGTGCGAGTGAAGCGCGCTCGGTGCCCGAACATAATGTGGCCGCCGCGTCGGACGGAGAGACATCACCTTAATGTGTTTCTGCCACCGTGGCCACCACAGCATCCGAGCTAGAGCCACTAAATAAGCTACGCTTGAGAGTATACTTACAGATCTTGGTGCTTCAAATCATGGTTTCCAGCTATCTGAAGCTTTATCTGCAATTACAGGCAACGCTTTTCCGTCTTCCAGAAATGTGTAAACAGTTCGCGATAAAGCAAAGCAATGCAATATTACATGACCTTTCTAACTCCGAATCTAGTGCTGAGGAAGTCGCACTTTTGAATCATGACGATCGGCAGCTGCGTCTGTCTGCTCTGTACTAAGCACGAAGATGGCAGCGCCTACCACAATATCGGGGGACAGAGTGCCGATAGTTTAAGCGTAGCTCATTAACTTTAATGACTCTAACCCGAGCTTCACGCCGCATGGCAACCAATCCAAGGTGTAGTCTTGCACACCGCATACGAAGCGGATGTACCGCGGCGACCAACGTTCGAACGGTATCTGCAGACCGCCGTTTGTACGATGCGTAAGTAACAGGGCCCAGCCTTTATGGCCACACGCCTGGCGCGTTCAAGTAAACACAGTGTCCCCAAGAAGCAGGTCATGCATCACACAGTATTTAATTGGTTCTCTGAAATAACACACACCGAATCGCAAAGAAGTATCAGCTGTAGCAAATTAGGACCCTTCGCTAGCATCAATATAAAGGATTAAAATCGATTAAGCAGCGATTTTAATCACCAATCGCTGCTACAATAGGAAACGAATGACAATAAACAGACAGGATAAAAAAAAGAAACAACAGCTAAAGCAAGTAGTGAAATTATTCCGTGATATGCCTGCTCTGCCGATTGGCTAAAGAACACATAGGTTCCATTGCGCTGCAGGGAAATTCCGAAATAGAGTATGGCTGAAAATCACTTAGCTGCATGTGTTTTGGGCGACATAAAAAAATGGCAGAAATGGACGTGTGTCAACGTTACTAAAACACTCAGTTGGGAAACTCGCCGTCGAAAACTGGGCCGCTGGCATCCACCGAGACCGAGCTAAATGCGACAACAGCGCCACTCTTTATCGTTTGTCTGTACTGTGGTCACCTTGAGCTTTTTGAAAGCCTGTTTTTGCGTAAAAACAAACGGAAAAGACTCTTTTTGTATGAAATTTATTGGAGTTTAGTACCAAATGATGGGCGCGTGATGTTTTTATCATCTTTAGTTCGCAAGGTTTTGCGGAACAAGTAATATTGTTTTCATACAACTATGCCTCAGCGGGCCTTTCAGGTTGCATGTCCTGACCTAGGTGCATTTTAACGTCCGTAGCTGAGCGCGGCGCGTTCGCCGGGGAAACGGGGGTGGCACCCATGTAACCTCTACCGCTGTATCTGTTCTGAAAGCCAAAATAGAAGTCACGTGCAGTTTCTCGAGTTGCCGCTGCGGGAGAAATGGTGGCGTTGTGTTCGTCATTAGCTCGGTGCTCGGAGACAGATTGGGGCCACTTTTTCAAAGCTGTCTCTATGGGAGTTTCCCAACTGAGTGTTTTCGTAACGTTGACGTGTGTCTACATTTCTGTTTTAATAGACAATATGTTTTGTTTTTTTGTTTTATTTTTTTCTGAGGGATCTTCTTATTTTTGGAGGTTTATATATCCAAAAGCTCCATCCTCTTTTTCTCCGACGTCTCGACCAAAGCGCATGAGTTTAGATCTAATGAAAAAAATGATATAAGAAACGTATTCTATATTTTAAATGTGTAATTAACGCGTCTTGCTATTTTCCAGTACCGCCGTTTGCAGATGTTTGCCGGCTGAAATATGCTGATATACTATATTCACAAACATCTATTTTATTCTGTTTACTTGTCGGTATCACAATATTTATAACTCTGCTATACTAGCAACGTCACACTGCGACTGTAACAACAAAGTTCTGCACTTTCACCAAGGCAGGGAGGTGTTCCGTTTTCTGAAGAAGCACGCGATGCAGTGCGTCAGGCATTCATGAGTGCCTCACTATGAAGGGTATTCAGCAAGGCAGACATCTTCACTTAGGAACGAGTCAAGATATCCGACGATACTTTCGGGAGCCAGCTGTTGATCAAGATCACAAAAGTGTTACTGGTGGCAACAATAAACGCTTCTATAACTCTTTGTGTTTTGTGTCTGACAGTAAGGCAGAAAGTAACGCTACGAAAGTAACGGATTACTTCTTGTAGTAAAGGTCACTTACTTTTATGGAAGAATAATTGTAGCTGTAGTTGCCTACAATGTAGCCTTGCGCGATTGTAAATGTAATTCGTTACATTTTTTAGTAACGTGAGCAAGTTTGCTCAGACTCCAATCTTTGAAAAACCTGTGCAGGACTTGGTTGCTCCACAACCAGTGCAGAACGTTTATGTTTTCGATATTGGACGTTCTGGTTTGGATGTCTGGGAACATATCTTATTGACTATTGTAGCGCGAACAAGCGCCGAGGCACCCCGAGAGTATTTTCCGTAGGTGATCGCGTACTCGTACGTACTGTGCGTGGTGAACTTGTGAAATGGCTTCCAGGAAAAATCACGGAAGTGAAATCGGCCATGACGTACTTAGTCTTTGTAGACAGACGAATACGGTTCGTACACGCAGATCATCTGCGACGTTCGTTCCTGGTGCCTGATGATTCAGCCGAAATGTCCGATTGTCACATGGAATTGCCTCATGGTAGTGACATGCCACAAGACCAGCGTCATGTCGAACCTGATCGAACACAGTCTGTAGTTGATGTAAGTGCAGAGCAAGTGTTGCCGCGCAATACTCAAATGGCCTCATCACCGGGACCGGTTGATGAATCGTCCCCTGTAGTGCCTAGGCGTAGCACTCGTGCGACGAGCAAGCCGGATCGGCTTATGTACGAGAAGTTTTAATCTTGTTTGGGGGGAAGTGTTGTGTCAGAGCAGGACTTATATTCGCGGTGTCGTATCGCCACGCGCTTTGTTTCCCTGCATTGATCGCGCGTGCCATGCATTTGATTGTAATCGGTGCTGCCACTAAAAAGGGCGCACCGTTGTACTGTTGTGTTGTTGCCCAAGCTGGGGACTGATTTGAAAACGACGAGGACGATGTGTGTATGACGATTGGAACGCAATGCTTTTGGCCTTGGATGTATAGTCTTCTGCTTGGATGTCTGAGTGAGTAAATGATTGACTCAAACGGAGTTTCTTAATTACAAGAACTATAAACACAAAAAAAAAGATTTTTTTTTTTTTTTTTTTTTTTTTTTTTAGGAGCGAAGCTCCTTAAGGCGTATTCACACGAGTGCGCGTGCCGGGGAGAAATGCTTGCGCATCCCACGACGAAAACGTCAGGCTTTGCGATGTGCAAAAGCCCCGCGTTTTCATCTTGTGATGCGCGCGTGCCGGGGAGAAATCCCCGGGATTTCTCTCTCGTGTGAATACCCCTTTAGGGGCTAGCCATCTCCGTATGTCCCTCCGATGCCGTGCGTCGCGTGCTCGTGCTCACGAGCACGTGAGCACGTGCTCCCGTGCTCGTGTAGGAAAAACAAAAAACCGCATCTCCACGTGGTGAATGATGTTGATTGGGGCGAAGCTCGGGTGGTGCTTGTCTGCGTAGACGGTGAGCCGCAGCATGCCGAGCCTTTCGTTCGTTTTCATCCATGTCAGAAAGAGAACGTGTGGTATGGAACGTGGTTATATACGCATCTGAGCATTTGACCGCAGAGTGACGTGGACGAAAACGAACGAACGGCTCGGCATGCTGCAGCTCAGCGTCTACGCAGACAAGCAACACCAGAGCTTCGCCCCAATCAACATCATTCACCACGTGGAGATGCGGTTGTTTTTTGTGCAAGGAGTACTAATTTCTAAATGACAGCCACTTTTCTCGGAGTTTAATAGCATCAAATTTAAGCAATTAGAATCCACACGATGGGCAACGCACCAGTCTTGAAGTTCAACTGGATCACCCTTTCTCAAATACTATTTTAGCGGGGCTGCCAAACACTTTTAGGATTTTGTCTAGATACTTTTTTTTTCAATACCATGGTATCATGGCGTCTCCAATTAACGAAACAAGTATTACTGCATGATTACACCTGTGAAGCGAACTTACCCGTATTCGGCAAACGAGACGAATGCCTTCATGACGTGTCGACTGACGTTCCGGTCTTCGTCCGAGTAGCTCTCATGGTCCCAAAAGGGTACTCCGAAATAGTACGGCAGGTCGGTAAGATGAGGGACGCCGCTCCATTTTGGCAACGTCGACTTGGAGGATTTGTGAGCGAACACGAAAGAGTACACCTTGTTGCCCTTTTCCGAGTGTCTCTGGGATAAAAATTTCGCTGGACATACAAAGTTAAAGTCGCCAACAAACTCCGTGTACATCTCCCTCAACTGCTGCTTGTTGTCCTGTGTCGCCTGTGCCGCGTAATATTCCACAAGGTTCATGTACTCGTCCTTCATCCACACGGCTGCTAATTCCCGAAGGGCTGGCTTCAGATCCTTCAATGGAACGTCGCTCAAATCTTCGTCCCAGAAACGCTTGTCTGGCTGCGCCGTCACAATCACATCCCCTTCCGACCGCGTGATGCTGACCATGACGTCGACGTCTGCAAACCGACCCTGTCTCAGTGCCAAAACTGGTCGAACTGGAAAGAAGTCATTGGGGTAAGTCGGTGCAAACGAAATGATTTTAGGGTCAGTGAGATTTTTCGCAGCATCAAATAGAGAATTCGCCGATTTGCTGCGTAAGCATTCTAGGACAATGTCCGGATGACTGGTCAGGTCAAGGAACGGTCTTGTGCAGTTAAGCCTCGCGGCAACCTCGCTTCCTCGGACTGCGCTTTCAAACGCGGTGTCCAGGAGTGCGATGGAATCGTAAGTACCGCTCATCATGAAAGCTCTGTGGAAAAGGCCCCTGCTCAGCAGAGATATGATGTGGGCGTGCACGCTGTAAGCGCCGCCGCTTTCGCCGAAGATTGTCACTCTCGTTGGGTTCCCGCCAAATGTGTGGATGTTTTCCCGTACCCATTGCAGCGCCAGTCTTTGGTCCCATAGTCCCACGTTACCAGGAGCGCCCAAAACTCCGGCGTCGAGGAAGCCGAAGATACCGAGGCGATAGTTGAAGGTCACGACCACCACGTCGTACATTGTTGCCAGCAGGGATCCGTTGTACCAGTTCTGGTAGGAACTGCCGAAGGCGAAGCCTCCTGCGTAAATCCAAACAACGACCGGTTTCGGTTGTCTCGTACTGGGAGTCCACACGTTTAAGTAGAGGCAGTCTTCCGATTGTTCAGTTTCAATGTCGAACAGTAATGGGTATAACTGTTGAGGGCAGGAGAACTTCTTTCGCGTGGCATCGTAAGTCCCGAGCCATGACTTCCCAGGCACCGGTCTGCGGAAGCGAAGGTGATGCAAAGGCGGCTCTGCGTATGGAATCCCAGAGTAAACTTGAACGGATTTCGCGGAAACGGTTTCAAGGCGTCCTCTGAGTTTCCCCTGCTTCATTTCCACAACCGGGACGTCTTCCATGTGCATTGTGGCGGCGCAGACGAAAAAAACGGGAAAAACCAATGTATGAAGCATGGCCTTTGAAAGAACGTTTTCTGGACCAAGGAAGAATGCAGAAATAAGAAATCGTCAGCTTCTATGGCGCAGAAGCGGATGAAAAGAGACTTCTCGCTACAGCCGCTCACTGTTTCCCGACTTGTAAACGTACGTCCCGCTCGTAAGCTTGGTCCTTCTCTGTGCTGCCTCGTGCTGCGTTTAATATCTGGTAAATAGAGGTGTACTGTGCTGAAAAGCTGCATATGGCACTTAGCGCAATAACATCCGTGCGATAAACGCCTCGGGCAATGGAGCCTTTAAAAAACATCTCCCGCATGCTTCTGCCAGTAACAAAAACTTTACTTATACGCGATGAAAAATAAAATGCAGAATCGCGGTCCAGAGTTGGGAAAAACCTAATAAACTCTTTGCGATACGAGAGTTCAGTGACAAACAACGTGTGCGCGAGCAAGCACGCACCGCTAATGCCTAACTCTGCACCAAGTTTATTCCGCAGATTCTTCTGATGGCCTCTGTCTCCGCAGTCTAGATGTCTCTGGTAAAGCATCCGATAACGTTGTAGTACCGGTGAGAATCCTTGAGAACTCAGCGAGGGAAGTGAATTGGCGACATTTGTAACTTGGAGGCTCCGAATACTCAACTGAGGTCTGTTGTACGACGACAGGTGGTGATCCAGTCTTTGACGTCCAGGAAAACTTCCGGTTCACAAGAACCAATGAACAAACCCCAACCTTAACACATAACAACTCTACTTGCAATGCAAATGAAACATTTACCCAGCAATTCTCCAGGTCAAAGCAAAAAACAAAAAACAACAAAAAAACAAAAAAAAAAAAAACAAAGAAGGTTGAAATTCGTTTAAATTTTTTCAATATTCCTGCAGACCAAGTTGTCTCCTCCAAGACCTTAAAGGAGATATGAAACGATTTTTCTACTTTCGTTAAATGCTAATCAGAATCCCCCCTAACATTACTAACCGAATAAACTTGCCTTAGTTTTCCTTTCTAAGCAATATGACAGTCGGCTAATAAATTAGAAAAAAATTAGCATCCTTTATCCTTTCAGCTCGGAGCCAGAAAAAGTGGCGACGTGTCCAGGTGCATTTCCTGTGCCGTCAACGTTAATCATGGAAAAGCAGAGTTGGCGGAAACGCCTGACAGGTAACATGGATTACAGGTAACTCGTTCGTGTTTTCGGTAACGTGGTAACGGACTCGTTATTTTTAAAAACAGTAACAGGTAACGTAGGTACTTTACTCGCTACTTGTTCCAAATACTTGGCAAAAATTACGCTTGAATGTTTTTCGTGTTTTTAGGCGCCAAACCACGTACATGTTTTGAGCTTTTGTATTTTTCTTTGCGTTTTCTCTTGTGAGTAACTGTAAAACGTGTTAATTCATAATATAATGGAGTCAGTGTTGGGCAGAATCGCGATACAAATGTATCGCGATAGCATTTCAGAAAAACATTTCGTGTCTGTATTTCTGTATCGCGATACATTTTTTTTCACCAGTATCTGCATTCCTGTATCGAAATACATTTGGAATGTTTCTTTGTGTCATGATACAATCAGGATGAAATGTATTTCGTTACATTTTTTAAAAAATATCCCCCCCTAAAAAAAAAAAAAGTCTAAACTCATTTTTTTTTTATTTTTTACTTCTCAGGGCATGAAGGTCAAGGAGATGCTGGGGCATTGTTAATATTCTGATCGAGGTCCCTCCCGATTCTCCAAACTATTTTTCCATGCGTCCTCTTCTCTCTTCTGAGAAGTGTTGCATAGTCGGAGACTCGAACCAGGTGGCGTGCCAGGGGTGGAGTCAGAGCATCTTCTGCCGCAGGTCCTTAGGTATGGAATTCTTGAGTCATTGTTTGCTGGCATCCAACGCCCACTGCTAATCGTCTCTCTCGCCTCAGCGCACACAGTACACCAGCCGGCAAATCTGAGTCACAGTCCGTTGCAGTACGAGCCTGGTGGTGGTTGACTTGAAATAGTAACATGACTCAGGCAGTGAAGTTCAACACATATTCGAATCCGGCTGCGCCCTTAATATTGCACGACTCGAGGGTACGCCATCAGCCGACCTGGACGTGACCCGCTGCTCTGGTGATCCGAAACCCAGGAAGGACGCCAGGTGTGGCCTCACTGTGCCGGCCCAGAGTTCGTACACCCGAGACTCGTCTCGAGCGCGCTGTTTCTCGGAGAGCTCGCACCCGAGCCGGCAATATCAGGTCGTGATCCACGACGTTTCTGTTTAGATGATGCCAAGTGAAACTTGAGCCCTCCGCCACCGACCCTCCGTCGGTAGCGGAGGGCCTTCACAACAGAAATGCCACCGTATCGTTTTTTTTTTCAGCCGTAAAAAAAGATAAGACATGTGTTCCAGGATGCTTCAGGTGGTCCATTATTCTCAAATATTCCAAGTGACACTGCATGCACGATCTTTAACGAGGTAACCTACAACGAAAGTACGCATCGTCCTTTCATACAGCAGCATGGTAGAGTTCCATGTTCAATGCCACACCTTCACATAAAGACTACAAGTTCATTCGTACGTGACGTCATGTGATCATTGTTGACAGGGGCGTGGTGACGTTTTGATGGGATTTAGGGTGGCATAGAATTTCTTTAGAGCTCGAAGTCTTTTCGGATCCCTCGTCAGAGAGACATGATGTCAGAGAAGGGACCATGGTCAGTCCCTGACGGAACGTTTTTTTTTTTTGAGCCCATGGAAGACTCCTCGTCGTCGGAAACCACTACCTTCAAGGCAGAGTGCCAGGCTTACGGGAAAGTAATTTCGGGATCAAAAACTTCCACTTCGAACTTCAAGCTTCATCTCAGTTTCTGTCTCAAAGAAATTTGAATAATGTATTGCAGTATCAGTATTTCTGTATTTGTATTTCTGCCCTTCCTAAAATGTATTCCTGTATTTGTATTTCCAAAACTTTTTGCCTAAATTTAGAATGTATTTCCGATACGTATCGCGATACATTTTCACATATATATTTTAGTGTGAGTATTTTAGCTATTTCGATGTATCCCAGTATTTATATTTCCATATACATTTTTGAGTATTTCTGCCCAATCCTAAATAAAGTAACGCAAAAGTAACGTATTTACAATTAGGAGTACCGCTCTAGAACACAAAAAGGCGAGCGAACTTTGTTTCATAGGTATTGCGGTCAGAATTCATGGAAGCGCAAGTATTCTGTTCAAGCGAGGACGCCCGTACTTCGAAGAAAAAAAAAAAGCCACAAAATACTGACACGCCTGGCAACAGAAAGAATAAAACAAACTCCGGACAAGGGACGACGAACATACCTCATTCGCACCCTTTCTCTCATTTTTTTCTTGGCCGTTCTGAATTGCGGGGAGTCCTTTTGGGCTCATTCATGTTGTTGCCAGTTGAAAGAAATGTTCGTTGTCCCTTGTCCGGAGTTTGTTTTATTCTTTCTGTTGCCAGTCATTGTTAACAACACGCTCTTCAGTTAATGTGGACTGACACGCGCTGCTGGCATTTGGCAGCATCGAGAATCGCTGCAATCGTTCAGTTTCATATCGCCTGCGCAGTTAACGCAGAGGATGACATCCGCTGCAGTTAGATTTAGCAGCTGTAGAGGGATGTCATTACAAGTTATTGCCTTTCTGCAAACCCTTCGATGAAGCGCCAGGCGCCATTCGCAGTACGTTAGCAGATCTCAGCAGTGAGTTGAGCACCTTGCTTTGTCTGGTTACATGATCGACATGGAGCACGACCTTCACTCAAGTACCGAGGCAAATCCTACAAGCATCTCATTGAGAAAAAGAAAACAGCTTTTAAGGAGGCACAACACTCTAAAAAAAAAAAACCCGTGCATCTACTTTTCCGCACAACACTCGGAGAACCAATCACCGCAGCTTACGGAAACAGCTCAGCGAATGACGATGCCGAGACATATGCTTAGATAAAAAAACACAGTATGAGTTGCGACAGTAAGCAATGCAAAACGTCGCGCTTGCATTGCTTAATGTCACAACTCAGACTGCGCTTTTTGGTCTAGACATATGTTTGAACATCGTCATTCGCTGAGCAGCCTCCGTAAGTTGCGGTGATTGGCTCTCCGGGTGTTGTGCGATAAACTAGACGCGCAGGCTTTTTTTAGAGTGTAAAGTGTTGGTTTTGACTCAGGCCACGGCCTCTAAGCAGTCTACAAAAGAACAAAATATCAGATTGATTGGCGTCCAGCGTTCCTAGTAAAGACAAAATCGAAGACGAGAGTGACGCCATCGCTCGCGATTAGCTGTCACAGGTCCGATGGTCACCTCTGCATTCTGCGCCGAATAAAAAAAAAGACAGGGTTGTCGCCATTTTTCCTTCCGGTCTAAATCGGCAAATTGGACGCGTCTCCACCTAATAGTCGGTACTTCAGAATGTTTAGAGACTGTAGATTGACTTATGATCATAAATAAACGATCTTAGAAACCCGTTTTGTGCCAAGGCTTTTGCTAGTCACTGATTTGCCTCAAGATTGGTTTAAAAAAGTCAAAGCCGTTTACAGCTCCCTGTAACGCCCAATTATGGCGCAGCTTTTGAGGAGGAGGATGGAAGGGTATTGAGGGGGAGGGGGGGGAGAAAGGGGGGTCACGTGACCCCCCCCACGAGGAATTTTTCCGCTACATTTAGCGGGAAAAGTTTTCCGCTAAATCTAGCGGGAAAATTGTTCCGCTTCCGGACTACCATGGGGCTCCGTGCTTGGGCCACTCCTCTTTTTAATTTTTGTAAATGACATAACCCAGGGAATTGCTTCGCAAATAAGACTGTACGCTGATGACTGCATTTTGTACCATGAAATTAATTCTGACTGATGTATCGGCCCTTTAAAGTGATTTAGACTGCATTTGTTTGCGCTGTTCAAGATGGGAAATGATTTCGAGCATCCCAAAGTGTTGTCATGTTAGGTTCACAAGGAAACACAACGTTTTCCAGTCAA